TAATTTTGATTTAATTAAATCATATTTATTACCAAACTTATATATAATTTAGCACCATGTATATCATATGATTTACATGGTGCAACAAACATATATAAATTTTAATTATTTTCTTTAAGATTTTGTTCGGATTTGATCACTTTTTGTAACACATATTATTGGTTTGCTCTGAAAATTTGATATGAAGTATTTTGTAGTAGTAAATTATTTAATTTACAGCTGTAAAGTGGCTCTTCAAACTTGAACAATCGTTCATATTTTTTATTACTTTAAAAATAATTTAATAATTTTTATTATATTTACTAGATGTTCATTAAGGAAAGTTCTAAGTAATTTAGTAAAATTAATGATCTTTTCAATTTAAGCAATTCGAGCTTTTGATATTTCTATCAATAGTGGTAGAAATATATACTTTTTATTATAGTAGTTTAAAAATGTTGATTATTCTACTAATTACCAATTTTACATAAACGCAATTTTTCCACATTAGCCAACTCCATCCTATGATTTACAATCGGCAATAAAGCAATAAAAACTTAATCCAAACAAGAGGGCATAATGTTTTGAAAAAGTCTTTGCAAATCTCCCATTCTGGTAACAAATTAAAAAGATTTTGAAGCCACACGGTTCCATATTATTGGTTGCTGATGGCGGTTTTATGCGTAAATTTTGCCACTACTCAACATAGAGAGACACAGTTGGATGTTAAAGGCTTATATTTACAAATTTTGGTGTTTCGCAGTTGTTAGAGGACAGATTAGCGAGTTTTAATCCTCGTGCATTCTATTTTATTGTAATGCCATTATACCGCTAAACCATATCACACGAACACACAGGTGGCCCCGAAATTGTTGGTGTATGGAACCACTGTTTACGTAAGAGGAAAAATTGACAAATCTGGTCGAAAGCAATAAAAATGCTTTTGCAGTGATGGTAATAATTGACTAGAGAAAGGGTTTAAATTTTTAACTTCTTGCAAATAATTTGATTTGACGCAATCTTAGAGAAATGCCAGCTTCCGGGGATACCATGAATTGATAGAACTCTTTTTTTTATATCCATTATTTTTTAAAACCTGATGCGTTATAACATATGATGAAAAATACATTTATCTTGGAAATAAGAATTTTGTACTCAATTATATTCATGACTATAAACTTCTGATACATACATACATATTACTGTAAAATAGCAATATAATTTTGGAATGTTGCAATGAGGTATAAAACTAGGCATGTTATATCACATTTGGTGAAAATTCATTTGTTTTGATAATAAGTATTTTGTGCTTAATTATATTTGTAGGTTTCTCTCAATTTCTGTTTTTGTCTGACCATCAATGTTATTACGAAATCTTTTTCTATTAATCCCCGAATCGAAACAGTTACAACGCATCAAACTGGCGACCGCAAAATGTGCAAATACTCTCGCGCATTCCATGAAACAACAATAAAATCATATAACGTTATAATGACAACAATAAATCGAATTTTGTTCACCTTGAACGGTAGCCGGCAATGTAATTGTTAATATTGTGCCCGCGGACAATGCGTTTATTGCCACTGGATTAGTAAGGGCTAAGGCGATCGAAAGCGTTTAAGCTGGTTACATAATCGCTTCTTGCGAATGTATGCAAGATCCGATATCGAGTTAATTTAATTTGGGGAATTATTTTCGAACGGTTTTTTCCCCTTTGGTCATCTTTAAAGTAAACACTGAGGACGAGTTTTGAAATTTACAACACCAAATATTATCTCTGTGAAAAATTGCTTAAACGAACATAGTTAGATTTTTCTAAAATATACTAAAATTCGTTGAAGAATGTATCGTATTTGTAATATAACAGTTTTTTTTTAAATATAGTATTTATTTTTAAAATATAATTTATCAAAATAATTTAATAATTTAGTTTAAGTTTTATGTTTTTGTATTTTTAACTTATTTTCAAAATTTAGGGTTCGGCACAATGTCCTTAAATTAACGGTACCTATTGTTATAGGTATAATATTTTACTACGATTGATGATTCAGGTATAATAAAGGTACCAGGCAAATAATAGGCATTCGAACAACAAAGCCCTGATTATTATTAATGATTTAATAGAAAATTTGCAAATATTTAAAAAATCAAATAATCATTATAGGTAAATTCACTATGTTGCAAAATTTTATATATTTTATTTATATTAATGTGGCGATTGATTCAGGGTATAATATTAAAATAGCGGGAAAATAGTATTTATTTGAACAAATAAGCTTATCATTTATGATTATTTTTAATAGAAAATTGAAATTATTTAGAATTTTGTTAAATAATCATATGTGTAAATTAACTATGCTGCAAAATGTTCTAATTTTATTTACATTAGGGTATATTCTAGTCTAAGGGCATGAATATTTTGCGAAGTTTGAAAGGTAATATAAAAAATAAAATAAATAATAAAAATAGCTATATAATTTTAATTGTAGAAGGTGGTGAAGTGAGGGATCTCATAAAATTAACACTGAAAAAGAAAAAATTATCATTTGAACAGCTATATCTCCAAAAAATATTAAAAATTTGAAAATATTTCTTGTACACATATTCTAGAGTAAATGAACTTTGAAAATATCAAAAATAAAATTAAAATTTTTAGGTCAGAATACACCCTAAGTTGGTTTTTCATGAATTTTGGATTTTCTGATGATTTCTCAATGATCTACAGTTTTCGTGGTCAGATTCTTGTAGTATTTTTGTGAGATGAATATAATTTATTACTCTTGATAGACGACAGATATTTACATATACGTTAACGCAAAAGGGTCCTAATGATAAATCAAGCAACCCGTTCTCTATAAAGACATTATTTAGCATCTAAAATCCATTAACAAATGATCCCGTGCGACGAACACGCCGCCATTTAGTCACGATCACTCCAGTTAGCAAATGGCCGATTAACCGCGCAAACAAATAATACAAATTTGAATAAATTCGCGCATTATCAGACGCCATTAAGCGAGAAATGTGTGAGCGCCACACCCTAGGATAGAGCATAAATCATACCATAACAAAGCACAAATATTTATAAATGTTATTTTTTTCCACGCGATCTGTAATGTACACACATGTGTATCGGCCACCGCACCGGTGCGTTTATTATTCCGATTTGGCAGGATCCCTCCCCTATTTAGCGCGTATGAAACGCAACCCCTCTGACGCACCCTGGATCGGAGGAAAACGCGCGCAACGAATTTGTATGTATTATTGTACCAACATATGAAAATACAAATCCTTCAGTCGAAAAATATGTGTAGCAGAATGCCTGTATCGAGCTTTGTTCTGCTCGCAGCATCGCTATGGCATCGAGCTCTTTCTCTCGTTTGGTATTTACGATGTACATCGGCAAACATTTACACTGCGCAGCTTGTTTGTTTGATATAAACATCCAAACAAAACCGGCCCATAGGCCTGCTCTCTCGCGCTCGTAGCGGGTTCGACCGTATGAGCAGGACGTAGCCTCAGCGTAGGCCACACCTCGCCGTCTACGGTTGGCCCGGTGCGTTTTTGTATCGCAGTCGGCGCAGGAGGCGTTACTTTCACGGAAACTATAAATGCTCTGCGGACTGGCGTAAATCAAGTTAGTTCTACTTTATCTATCGAAGCGAGCATGTCGTCTTAAGTGTTATTACGTTAGCGGTGAATTTGTTTTTGGATTATTGATTGGTCGGGAGTATTGTGTGTAGATTTTGTACTTGAACTGTTTTATATATGTCGTGCATTATTAAAACTGAAGAAGAAACAACGATGGTGAACGCTGAGAGTTGTGTTAACCATCCAGTGACGGTGAATGCGCCCAGACGCGATATGGATTTCAAATCAAGCTTTAGCATTAGTTCCATATTACCGGAGACCGTACGTGATAGTTCGAGTCCCGTCAGTTCATCGGCTTCAATATTTAAGTGTGAAGATTTGTCCGATAATGAATCTGATCTGGATGTGACTGGTGGTGCTTCGCCACTTGATTGCAGTTCATCCCGCACAAACGACGAAAGCGAAAACAACACAACCACCGACGGCAAACCTGCCGCGACAAAAGGCAATGAAAAACCACCTTACAGTTATAATGCTTTAATTATGATGGCAATCCGGCAATCGCAAGAAAAACGATTGACTTTAAATGGAATATATGAGTATATTATGCGTAATTTCCCGTATTATCGTGACAACAAGCAAGGTTGGCAGAATTCGATAAGACATAATTTGTCTTTGAACAAATGTTTTGTGAAAGTACCAAGACATTACGATGATCCCGGCAAAGGCAACTACTGGATGTTGGACCCATCATCCGAAGATGTATTCATTGGAGGAAGCACCGGTAAATTGCGCAGACGTTCAACTGCCGCAAGCAGAAGTCGATTGGCAGCTTTCAAAAGATCGCTGGTTTTATCGCCGGCGGGACACATGCCAGGATATTCACCATACGCACATCCAGCGTACATGTACAGTCATCCCGCTTTATTAGCTTCAGTATATTCGAGGTATAACCCATATCTACCAATGGTTTTACCGAAAAATCCGATGGTACCACCACAAACGCATATGCCTCCAAATCCCGCCGCTATGCCTCCAGCAGCAAATCATGGATTCAGCATGGAGCGATTGTTAGCTGAACAACCTGTGAGGCAACCAATGTTACCAGTAGGAGCACACCCGCAATATCAAGATTTCTACCAAAGGCTATTGCTGCAGCAGCAATTGCAACTTACCGCTGGTTTGTTGCCGAACTCTCCAGTTGGAGGACCAATTTCGCCTCCACATGCCTCCAACCCGCCGCCACATCAAATGTTCAAGCCGATTACCGTTGTGACGCGGCATAGTTGAAATCTGGACGATATTTGTCAAGCTGTGTGATCGTACTGATATTTTAGTTTTCTTTGACTGTGATCATGATATTTTTATTAGATAAACATTATAGAAGTATCATCATATGTGTGCCTCAATGTAGCATGTTTTTACGATTCCAAATATTTGATTTTGTATGCAACCTGCAAATATTTTATTTGTAAATGTGTGAACAAGACATATCAGTTTGTTAAAATCTTGTAAATAATATTGTATGGTGCATCTGTGCATTGCACTACTTTATTTATTCTCAATTGTAAATAAAATCACATTGTAAATAATAATAAATGTAAAAATCTAATTGTACATAAAATTGTAAATATGTATAGCTGAATCAAAAATTAATTATATATAAATAATTTAAAGAGATTGAAAATTATCAAAAGAAAATATACGAATAATTCAAATTTATATGTGCATTTTATTGATTACTATATTTGGTATATTTGACTTTATTTCAGTTTTTTTTTTCAATCAATATATTTTAATATTTTTTTAAATAATTTAGCAAATACTTGCATATGCATTTCATCCTTTTCTTCACAAATAAATTAATGCTGCATTTAATCACAAGAATTTAATTATTCAAATTGAATAATTAGTCTTATTTGCATGTAATATTTTTTGTGGAAAATCGATAAGCAAAAATTTGTTTGCATACTTTTTGCAGTTATTGAGTTGAAACCAAGTTAAAATATTTTTCTATTATATATTCTACCTTATCTTATTTTATGATTATATTTAGTATTGAAATAATAATTACTACTACGTTAACTACTTTAATTATTTTAGCAGTTAAAATATATACATGAATATTTCATGCAAATGACTGTTAAATTAATCAGAAAAATGAATATAAATGCAGAATAATATTTGTTTGCAGAGAAAAGGATGAAATTCATCAGTTAGTTTTTGCTAAATTATTTAAAAAATTTAGTAAATTTTGATTGATACACCCTGAAATCAAATATTTTAAAATTAGTTTGTTTAGCGAGCTAATGAAAAGTTCCAATATTAGGTTGTTTAGGGATGGTTTTTAAAAATCTATATTGATTATTTAAAAACTATTTTCTTAATGCAGATTATTTATTTGCTAAATCAATGCTTTGATAAAATTCTAACAACTTTATTGAAACAATTCTAATTAAGTACGTTGCTCTATTACGTGCCTTCTGTAATGTTTTGTATAATAAAAAATACATGCAATATAACGTGCTAAGATGGAAAAGATGAAATAATATATATTAAAGATGGTTTAATGGATTATTTAGCTAAATATATAGTAATAGCAAGAAAAAAATATTCGGGGTAGTAAAAATAATTTTGTTGAAAATTCGTTGAAATCTTCAATCAGCAATCGGAGAACCGAGGTATATTGCCCCAAATGGGGTAAAAATGGAATTTTTGGATATAAAAAGAATATATTTTTGTTTGCTATTTGTGTAGTAGTAGGTTGTGCACTAAGTCAATTCCATTAAAATTTAAATTAAAATTAAATTTATAGTAATAGTTTTCTATTCAAAATTATTGTGGATAACTGTAATATGAAAGATGCTAAAAGTAGCAATTTCATTTTTTTGGTTCTTTGTTAAATGAGGCAAAATGCATCAAAGAGCTTTTATACAAACATATTTTGGGGTGATGATTAAAAAAGTTACCTGAATTAGCAGATTTTTTTGTAATTTGATATATCTTTGTATGTTAAAGATTCAATACAGAATTAACGCACATTATGAATATATTATCGATATGTAAATCTTTTTGGAACTACATCGCAATCGTTTTACTATAATTCCATTTCTAGAAAATTCTTCGAAGACATTTGCTGCGGTTCGCATTACGGTCAACCGTCACTCTAACCCTGAAACGTGGCCAAAACGGCCGTTTACTGTTACAGATTTTGCCATTAAAGACGAAGAAATTCATTTCTAAGCAAATTACCAGAAAAACCGATGTAATTACGGTCTCGTGAAGGACTTTTCGTGTGCCAGCGATTCATCTGATGCCACGGCGGACGCACATTCGTTTCCAATTCATTTTATAAGTGATATATAACGGGGGTGCAGTAAAATAATAAAGCGATAAAATTTTCACTTTCCTGATGTCGAATATTATGGAGAATGGCCCAGGCACGAACTAGGTAGTAATAGACTCTTTTTTGAAATATAACTTACTTTGCATCTTGTACCTACCTTGTCCAAGTAATAATAAATTGAATGTTTTAGTATACTCGTCAAGAAGAATTGTCAGAATTTTATTTATTGACGAGTACATTTTGTCATGCGTATAAAACTTTGACCATAGGCTATTTTGATAGTCATATTTTAAATAAAAAATATTCTTAATTTTTAATCAGAATATTTTGAGGCTTCGCCGATTTACTGCAAAACAAAATCTTACCTCGATTCTGGCAACATACGATCTGTGCGCACAGTTCAATGAGGTTATATTAATTTTAATATAATCAGCACCATTTCTTTTATTTTTTCTTATCTAGGTCTTGAATTAATAATTGATGTATTAAAATATTAAATTCAATTATCTTTTTCCTTCGGCCCTGAAGTCGAAATTTCTCGGCGCACGGGCGGCGCGCGTTTACAGAAATATTACATTTGTCCACTTTTATTATTTGTTGCTATTGACTTTAAATGCTACCCATCCACTAGGCCACCAGGCAACCGAGCAATTTATGACCAAATGACCAATAAATGTCCAGTTGTAAAAATTTTCGGTGTCTCAGGCGATCGAAACAAATTTCATTCATATTTCTTGAACATTAGAGAAAAAAGTATGTATATTTCAAACTTGAAATAAGATAAAATCGACTTTTGTTGCAAATTTTAGATCGTTTTCATTTTATTTAAACATTTATTTTTTATATAAAAATCATATTAAAGTTAATCATATAAAATTAATGTTGTGCATTTGCAACAGATGAATTTGGAATGAATTTTGTCTCAAATATATAGCTCAAAATATTGTTCAAACGTAGACCAATAGCCGTTATAACAAACTATTCGCGATTTACATTATATTAGAACCTAATTTTAACCTGAAATATGGCCTTTAATCTTGGAATATACGACTACATTTACAATAATGCAGATACGAGAAAGGGTCGTGCAATGTGAATTTCATAAGTAAAATTAAATTCCAAACCAATGACTCATATTTTTTGAGGTGCAATTAAAAACGGACAACTTTTAAAACAAATTCAATATTATATTTATTTTTGAAGGAAAAAACACGAATTAAAAATCAATTTTTTATTCATATGAATAAAATGTGGAAAACTTTATGTGTGCATTTCCAGTATAATCAATTTTTTGTAGTATATAAAAAGTTTTTTAATAGATAACACATCGCATTGCCGTTCTTACTATATTCATTTCAAATTTTTATTTATAATATATAAAGAAATTTGGTTAATTAATTAAAGAAAAAAAAGAAAAATATTTTTCTGATATCATTGAAATTAGCGCAAGAAAGGGATTTTGCGATCTAAGGTATTAACGGTTAATTTATAGAATTTCGGGTTTTGGAAAAATCAGATTAAATTCATTTGGGGATTTTTGGTTCGAATATACCTGGATTCAGGATTAATCCATTAAATGAAATGTTAGCTTTTACAAAAAGGAATTACTGCATTATTGAAGGCATTATTGATATACATTTAATAATATAATTTAAATAATATTGTGAATATAAAAGTAACTACTTTATTTAGCGAATAATAATGTGTACCCATGAAAGTTACCGTATTATTCTATAAAGTATGTATTTAAATACTGTATAAATATTTAAAAAAAATTACTGAATGGTGACACACCGTGTCGAAACGTACAAATAAATAGTTCGTTATTTATTGTTCTTAGAATAAATATTATTCATGCTTATTTGTATGGTTACTTGTAATATCTGAATATATATTTTGCAATAGTGCACTTTTCAAGTAATTTTAGATTAGTTTATTATTATTATTATTTTTATTCTTGAACTATTTCAAATGGTTTACCTAGATAAAGTATTATTCTTGACTGTATAATCAACCGAATAAAAGGAATGTTATCTGAAACGCATGGATTTATAATAATTTTCAAATATAAATAAATATTAAATATTATGCACAGATAAATATAAAATTTCACCTACATATTTTTACCTACGTGATTTTGAAAATATATTTTTGTATTTTACGAAAAAAGGTATCGTTTCGAGTCATTTTATGACTATGGTCTCATAAAATTGGCAAAATATTCAGGTAAAATCTGGTTGCTCCGCTCTCCGCCAGAACTGTGGACATCATTTTAGTCGCCTGAACTATTAATTTTTATCATTTTACTACGAGGCTTCATAAAAATCTTCAAGCCAAGTGCTAATGATTCTTTTGTACTGTTAATTTTTTTATAATGCTTGTTGAAACATATAATAGGCGATGTCTTGCGAATTCGAAAATATTGCTCATGACATCATGTTTCATCTCTATTTTGTATCTGCCTCTTGCTCATTCCATAATAAATCTTCTGGTTGCTTCGATAATAAACTTCCTAATGGATGGGTACCTTAAGAACGAGGACATACTGGCAAAGCAATTTGTTGGGCTATCGTAAAAATAATAATAATAATAATAAAAATTTATAATTTATTTTGTATGTCTAATATTTTGTGTGATTATTGGGGTTGTTCGCCTGTTAAAAGCCTTTTTATTATGCTTTCGTCCTTTGCCAACGCTCGTGGCATTGCCCGTTTGTCGTGTGTGGAATTTGATGGTTTTATAGAACCAAATTTAAACAACGAATAAACACTTAATGGCGTTGTCATTAATATTTTACAATATTTTTTTTATGTATTCTTGTAACCGATCGTTTATTTTTTATTTGACTGTTAATTTGTTCGTCCACGCAGTTAAAGAACGGAATACACAAATTTCATATCGGGCGGAGATATCAATGGTAATTAACTGTGTTGTCTGTGAAAATAATTAATATTTTGAATAGTTATATAAGCAAATAAATACAATGTACCCTTTGGTATTATTTTAGATATTTAGCTTAAATGCACATAATTTTCAAACTAGATTTTTTTCTGGTTTTGCTCATTATGGCTACAGTCAGTCTTGTCACCCCACATCGACTTG